CTGATTTTTCCACCTTTGATCTTTCAGATAATTATTGCTAGCTGAAGAATGAATTCCCAAGCAGTGTACTTGAAGACCAATAATAAAAGGTTAGGCTATATCCTTAGTTCAGGAACAGAATGCAGGTAGTCCTCGACTTACGACCACAATTGAGCCCAAAATTTCCATTGCTAAGCAAGACATTTGTTAAGTGAGTTTTGCCCCATTTGTTAAGTAAATCACTACAGCTATTAAGTTAGTAACCCGATTGTTAAGTGAATCTGACTTCCCCATTGACTTTGCTTGTCAGAAGGTCACAAAAGGTGATCACAGGACCCTGGGACAATGCAACTGTCATAAATTGCCAAGCATCTGAATTTTTATCACATGACCATGGGGATGTCATAAGTGTGAAAAATGGTCATAAGTCACTTTTTCAGTGCTGTTGTAACTTTGAATGGTCACTAAATAACCTGTTGTAAATCGAGGACTATCTGTACTTTTACAGATTTTTTAGGGGGAAAAAGACAAGTTAATATCCTTTACAGTTCAATGGATAATGTAGACCTTATTAGCAATATATAGATGCTCACTGAGCCATATATTATCTTTTTTTTTCTCACCAGCCAGATAATCCACTGATTGATCAGTTAGTGGAACAAATTAATAAGTATTTAAGCTAGCTAGAAATAAAAGGAGTATTAAACCAAGACTGAAAAGATCACTACAGCAATCAGTTATCTCTAGAATTTGTTTTGGGGGATATTAGATATCTGTATATATTGCAGAAATTAAACTCACTCATCAGACCAACTGATTTCTTGCTTCTTACCTCACATGACCTCGAGAAAGATATAAATCTTCAGGACATCCAAGTGTACCCGTAAGAATCCAATTTCCAGTCTTAACCCTGTGCCAGGTAACCTTATGATTGAGCAGCAAAGGAAGCCAAATGTATAATTTCCCTCCCTCTTGTAGAGAGGTGTTTAGAAAGGAAGGACTTATACCGTTTACTCTTCTAAAACTGAATAGTATTTATCAAGGAACATTCATTTTGTATTTAGCAAGATTTAATATTTGATAATTTTAAAAGGAGATTAACTTCCCTGCCAAATAATTGATATGTTCTAGGTGGCAGGTGTTGCCTGTCACTTACTTGCCAAACTGCTTTGTTGCTGATGTTATTTCTTTCTATACTTTATGATTGTTAATTTTTAAATATTCAGTGATACTTAGTGCACATTAGTTAACTGTATTGTGCACATACACACTGTTATACAGTCACAGTGGCTAAAACAAGATTACATTTTACATCTTCTTCTCATTTAATGACTGCATGCCATTCCAATAACCAGACTGTTTAGGCAAAATGATGGCTAAGTGAACATGTGACAGAGAGAGAGAGACATTGCAAAGGTCAATAGGTACTGGCATTTCATTCAGATGAAGTTCTCTTGTAGCTATGCCAACATTACTTTCACTCCTGTGGGCCTTGTCAAGCACATGAAATTTGGTCATAAATGTGTCCATTGGTTGATTTTTTAAAAATCACCATTACCGTCATATTTGCAAATGGTTGCTAATCAAAGGAAGATGCTAAACAAGGAGTGAATGTAAAATCTTTTCAGGATCTGCTAAAGAGGGGAATATTATGCCATGTTGTCAGTCAAAAACAGGAGGTAGTAATTATTCTGGATTGATAAAATTGACAACAAAAGCATTTTCTTATTGAAGGGTAAACAAGTCTAAGGCTAAAGCTGAGTTTTTCTAGACACGGATGTCAAACTCGATCACGTCACGTGATGTATCATGACGTATCGTGACGTTTTTTGCCTTTGCGGAGTTGGGAAGGGCATGGCCTGCGTGTGACACATCCACATCCTGCGGGCCACCAGTTTGACACCCTTGTTCCAGAGCATATTCTGCTTCCAGTTTCTAGAAAATGTTTCAGATGTTCATATTTGGAAATAATCTGTTTCTGCTTGCAGTGTAATCTGCATGTACATTGTGTGGGAAAGCTATGATGCCATCTCTGATCACTCCTCATGCAATATGTACCTCTGCATACGCACCATGGCTAGAAAGCTGGTCAGACTTCTGGCCCAGGCCTCCCAGTTTGAGTTCACACAGCAGAATAATCCATGCATTCCCCATCAAGCAAATTCTTAGCTTAAATAATAAAACACAAAGCATCAGCTAATCCCCAAGCTATCAACTCAACATCAAGAGGGCTATAGCAATAAAATATGTTTGCAGTTAGGGTACAGGGGTCTGTTCTCCATTTTAGAAGGCACTGTAAAAAAACCCTAGACAAATAATTGAAAGAATTGTGTCTTAATGAGAAGGCCTTATTTGACATAAAGTGTCAAATACAGTGGGTTGCTTTTGGCTTGGTTTGGCTGGTTCTTGCATTTAATATTTGTGGTGGGAAGTTAAAAGTCCAGAGTCAACTTGGAGTCAGATAGCATCAAAATCACATCAACCAATTAATCAATCTCTGGTTTATGGTTACCACAAAGTGATAGTACAGGTGACTGCAGGTTGCCAACTCTGAAAAACATTAAAACAAAAATGTGGAATATTTTTCAGTTTTTACAACAAACAATAGACCTATGTTTGGGCTGCATCAATTCAATCACAGGTGGATATGTTGAATACACAACCCATTCTAACTCTTTCCATATTTTTTTTTTTAAAAGATGCTAGATGACTCATTCCTGATATGATATGCCCAGCTTCTATATTTTCTGATTTGGAAATCCAGGGTAATGCAGTGATTAGTACTGAACTATATCTAGGAAGACATGGGTTTAAAAGTCTCATCAGCCACTTGGTCAACTAAATGACTTTGAGCCAGTCATTCTCTCTCGGGCTACCTAACTTTTATTGGCGAAGAAACTAGAGAGTAATAGTTCATCACGTCATCCTAAACGAAAGTGACAGAAGGCTCAGAAGAAAAATACAACCAATATATCCATTTAAACCCACCTGGAGCCTGAAAAATAACGTGTAACACCACTACATTTATCGACTCAGCAGGAACCGAGACCTTGGAAATAAAAAAAGCCGATCCCTGGGATACATCATGTTCCAAAATGAACCAAATCAAGGTGTGGAAGCACACCTTTGCTCCTTGATCACGCGATCTCCGGAAAAAAGAGTGCCAGCCCTTCCCTCGCCTTCGACAAAAAAAGGCACCTTGGGAGCTAGGCAGAGACTCCTCGATTGACCTCTGTCATCCTGGATTGATCGAGCAATCAGAGATAATCTATGCTTTCCACGCGCGAGTCTCCTCCTTCTCCTCCGCCTCCGTTGCTGTCTCCGCCGCCGGCAGTTGCGACGGCGGGAGTTGAAAGCTTTTTCACCCGGCGGCCCCGCTGGGAAGAGGAGCCGGAGAAGCGAAAGGAAGGCGCCCCGGGGACTCCCTGCCAGGGAGGGAGCCGTCAGCCCCGCGCTTCTCCCCTTGCCCGGGCTGAGCAGGTAAGAGGCAGCAGATAGACTAAGTTCCCGAGCCGGAGTCACTTCGGCGAGATTTTTTTGAGGGGGGCCGCGGGATCTTAAAACTAAGATCCATCCCACTCCGAGTCTTTTCCTTCCTTTTTCGCTTCTCCACCAGTGGAGCCGGCAGCGTGTAATCAGCGGGAGAGGGGTGGGGTGGGGGGAATCCAGCAACACGTGTCTGGGACAGCAGGCTTTTCTTTCTTCTCAAAGGGCAGGCAGCGGAACTTGAGCTTTCAGTTTTCACACGAGAAAACAGCTTCTCCCGCTATGTTTCCTGGAACCCGGCCTGAACCCTAATCAGTCTCTGCAAGTTGGCCGATTGTCCAAGACCGTCGCTTAAGACGGCGATGGGAATTCCCAAGATACAGTTAGATTGTGACTGAATCAACCTCAGCCCCCGAACCGTGTTTTCCCGGAGAGAAGGGCTCCTACCTTGGGGCTAAAAACAGAGGCCTATTTCCATCATGGCCCCGTGGTGGGCTCTGAAAACTAATGTACAAAGATCCAGACTAAACAGGAATGATGATTGCCATTTTATTCTAGGAAAGTCGAAGGCGACACAGATCTCTGTAACGACAGGAAACTAGTGCTGTTTCTGCTCTTTGGAGAGGCAGCTGAGTTGTGAAATGCTGTCATGGGGAGGGGAGTTGTTGAGAGATCTGTGCACTTGATACTCCATTCACCCATGAAGTGATTAACTCATCAAATGTACCAGTCCCCAGGAGAACTTTGTAGGGCTCCGTGAAAAGTTGCAAGAGCAGGGGGAGAAACATTCATTTGAATGCAGTCTGCGTTCTCCGGCTAAAACTTTGCTTCTGGATCAGGAGAATTCTTTTAGTTACAGGAAATTTTTCCTTAACCGTTCTACAGCCTGAAAAAGTTGAAACCCCCTCCCCCCCAGCCTTATAAGATTATGACGTAGAGCAGACACTAGGTGCTTCCAAATGAAAACTTGTGAAATCATTGACAAATTATTGCACAATTTTATGCAATCAAGAAATTCATTGAAAATTCTCATTTGTTTTTCCAGCCTGTTTTTGCCACTTTTTTTTTTTTTTTACTGTGGGAACATCTAGAGTTTCTTTTTAAAGGAAAGAGTAATATAACCCCACAAAAAGAAGCTTTTTAAATGTCAGAGAAATTTGTCATTGTTCTCTGCCTATTTCCCTTTGTAGGTATCATCACTTTTTTATCTTGGTTGTCAGGAATTTTTGTGGTATTAAAACAGTACATTTTCTTAAATATTAAAGGAACAATTAAACATCAGTTAAATGAGTGTGTTATAGCATTATACTTGTATATATCTATAACACCCTTTACAAAGGTGAAAAAACCCTTTCTCATTTTGTTTTAACTACAGTAAGAGAGGTAATAAACATGACCAATACTTTAAACATCAGTATTATAAAGGTCAGTACTTGTAAAAAAGAATTCATTTAAGTTGTGATTTTTATACTAATGACAACATAATAAAAAAAGCCAGACCGGGTGTTAGCACTATTTAAAAAAATGTGTTTGTTGTTTAAATAAGGTGATAAATGTTGCACCTATGGCAAAGGGCACAGGCTGTGATAGGCTAGAAATAAATTAATGACTACAGTATATCAAAAGGATACTCCTTTAAATAGTTGGATAAGGGTTGGACATGGCTAGGATATAATGAAATGCATATTCAAAAAATGCATACTATTTCTAAATAGTAGGGAAAGTCAGTTACAATTCTACTCATAGCTCTTTAAGGGCAATTTTTTGTATTAACCCAGGAACTCTTTAGAAGCCCCTGATAGTTCCTCCACTATACTATACTAGAAAACTTCACTTGAGTTATATAAAATTACTCAGGGTAAAAAAAAATCCAACTGTAAAGCAAGAAGAAAAAAATGTGCAGAGGGCAGTAGCCTTTTTAAAGAGTTGCTGCAGAAGAAAGTAAGGCAGCTTCCTGAGATAACCCAAGAGATCTTATGTAAAGGAGGTCCTCAGAGCACTAATTAAGGTATAGTGGCCATAGCAGCAGTCTGTGCAGGCAAATGCCACAGACACCTCATACAGTGCCTTCAGCATGACGCGCCCCTCTGGGCCCAATGAATCAGTTGCTAAGGTAATAATTGGGAGGGGGGCTGCAGGTGGGAGTGGAGGGCCCCAGTTCCATTTGTACTGGATTAACAGTTGGAGCAGCTGTTTGGCTGGGCCTAACTGAAGGGCCACCCACCCCTGCTTTAGTCTTGACAACCGCATTCTGAAGCTCTATGATCACAGTTCCTTTTTTTATATTTTATTACTTTATTCCTTACATTATTGGCCTGAAATGTTAGCCTGGGCATGAAATATGGGGGCGTGTAGCTGCAGGTGGGTTGAGTAAGAAGTGATAAAAAAATGCAGGAAGTGTTATTTACAGGGCCATTCATAAAAAACGCTTGCAGCTGATAGTAAAAACTTGCTGGCAGTAGTGAGCTAACGAATGTATGTAAGGGTGGTAAGAAACCTTTATCCCCTTTTCAAGGTGCCGGAATCACAAGTAATGTTCTCCAGTTAATTTGGTGGCTTATTGCTCAACTCTCCTTTGAGGTTTGGTCAAGAATGGACTCTTTAAGGTCAGTCACAGTATGTCATGGCATAGAAAAGGAAGTGTTCCTCAACTGATTCCTTAATAATGCCCTTCCTGATGTCAGATTAATGTCTGTTTAGTCATTGATTCTGCTTAGCCAAAAAATGCTGAGCAAAACAAGCAATCTTTTTGTGGCCTGGGGTGCACTTCATACAGTGATGGGATTCAGCCAGTTCGTACCAGTTCGGCAGAACCGGTAGCTAATTTTTTGTTGCCCAGAATGGACTTCCGGAAGCAGCATCCACACAGAGAACTGGTTGTTCACATATTTGAATCCCACCACTGATTTCATATATGTATATTGAGTAGTCATAGGTGGCTAGGCAATGTGATAATTATCCCACATCTATGTATAAGAATCATTTTGGGATCGGGGTGAGGGGTTAGGGAGATGAACTCTATTCTTGGTGATTGCATCCAGGCAATTTTCTGTAATGGGTTGCCTTTTGTATTTTTTCCTGCCTTTTTTAAAACTTCCTAGACTAGAAAACAGAAATACTAATCAAAGCCAACTCTGCTTGGCTCCTAAAATAAATCTGTATAAAGATTTGGTATACTTTGTGGGATTTTAGGGGGTCCAGTCCAATCTGAATTCTGGATTCTACAAAAAAAGATGTTTGGAGACTGTGCATTTACAGACTGAGGGTTTCAATCATTGTCTAAAGATGGTATCCTTTGTCTTATGTTAAATATTGAACAATCTTATTGTCATATATAGAAGATGTCCAGATATCTAAACTGATCTTGTGAATGACAGTGTAAAGTTCATAGTAGTACTGGGAGAGTAGAGGGCAGTATCTTGTGCTTGGTTATAGAGTCTGGATCCTTACACCAGTTAGTCACTGCTTCTGCTAGTGGTTTATATTGAAGGTTATCTGTGAGCAAGCACCAGATTATAATCCAAGTCTGATGAAAGGGAATAGTTTTTATTTCCCATTAATAAAACAGAGTATTTTCTGTTATATTTTGTATTAGTTTATCAAAATATCACATACAGAAATATAAAGAAAAATAAAAATAATTGGAAAATAAGGAAGGCAAAGCGGAAGTGGACAAAATGTAGGGTAAAGGAGAGAAGAAAAAAAGCAATTGATTTCTGACTCCTTTTGCATAGTAGAATAAGGTAATAATATACAATCTCAAATTTTTGCTTTTACATAGTGATATATATTGACCATTTCTGTAGCAACAAACCTATCTAATCAGCAAAACCCAAAATCAAAGTTTCATTTTTTCCACCTCAAGTACAAAGCAGTTTCTAAATAGAACCCAAATAAACTACCTACCGGTAAATCAAAAACGTCATATATTAATCTTCCTGCTAATATATTGTAAAGTTGTAGATCACTAATTATGCATGTGTATTCTTGTATGAATCTAGGATGATTCAAAAATAATGATTTAGGATCAATATATTAAGTATGACTATACTACTGAAATGGATTGCCCCATTGCCATTATGATTTATTCTTGTAATAATGAGATTGTCCTGTATCTGTTATGATTCCTCCATTCTTTCTATATGCTGGCTGTGGAATTCTGGGAGTTGAAGTCCACATACCTTAAAATTGTCAAGGTTGAGATTGTCAAGGTTGAGAAACACTGTTCTAGATTGTGGTTATAAAGGTTACCTAATAAACCAGTTGCACTAATCTTTCATGCAGAGCCCACAACACATGTTCTCCAATCAGTTTATTCAATGAATTTGGAGTGGAAAGTGGTTTGCTGGACATGTAAAGGTTCAAAAGAGTTGCTTTTGGTCTTCATGTTGAAACTTGGATCCTGCAGTTACATATTCTTCGTTCAGCATTAATCTGAACAAAGATTATGCAACAATAAGGAACATAGCAAATTTGGCATGGGATTTTATACCAAAGTATAAAGGAAAGATAAAAAGATCAGCACAGTCTTAATTAATGGAATTCTCTTCCAGAGCCAGAAGGTCAATCAAAAGAGACACATGTACTACTACTACTTTTGATAGGATTCATGGGTTTGAAAACAGACTGCTGCCAGCATGTCCCCCATTAGCCCTAGTTGCCTAACAGAAGAGGGCTAAGATTGTAAATTCCCACCTCAATTGGTGTGGCAATGGCATTTGAAGCAAAGAGACTTGCGAATGGGAGCATATTTAATTCCGAGCTAGCCTTCATCTGGCTTTACATTCTTAATTATGCAAGAATAGTTATTTAATTCTAAGAAAGAATATTCAAGTTTACTAGTTCTCTCTCTCTCTCTCTCTCTCCCTCTCTCTCTCTCCCTCCCTCCCTCCCTCTTCCTTCCCCATTTTCCGCCCCCCCCAAATGTTTGTGGGCAGGGACTGTTTTAAAACCTGTTGATTCCTACCCTGAAAAGTAGGATTTAAAAAAGCCCTGATGTCAATGCTGCTAACATCGGATGTTCTTGCTTGACAATATATGAAGATGCAGACATTTTCTATTTAACCTGTGTATTACTTTTAGAGTAAAAATTAGATGGTGCTGGAAGGGAGGGGGGAAGAATGTGCTTGGGGACTAGTTAGCCATAACAATATTTCACTAGAGTATTCTTCAAGGCTAGTTGTAATAAGATGAGATAAATGCTGGCAGGTTAGAAAGTTCACACTTCAAACTAATTGGAGAATGTGATTAATGACTGTTAAATGAAGGAGTAAGTTATGCTTAGATACTGTGTGTTGGGGGAGGAGAATTCCAGATTTTGGCTTCTCTATGTACATGCCGAAGCTATGTTGCAAATTAAAGATTCTTTAAGGTAAACAATGCCTCAAAGTTCTTTGAAGAGCTTCTTCTTTCGAAACCATGACACCTTAATTAAATAAATAACAAAATAAAGACATGTCTAAAGTATAAAAGAGCTGTAGAGGCTAATTTATCTTGCTTGAGAAAGAAAAGAGGAGGAAGGGAAACTGACACTGTCCTTGAAACTGTGAATTATTTCCTGGTGAGTTTTTCAAGAGCAGCAGTACAATCCTGTTCCTGACAATATGTATATTTGCTTTTCTTGGCTATTGGTGGCTGGCTAAAATGACTGCCCTACATATTTCTCTCTGCAGAATAAATATATCTTATTTATTCAGTCAGATTATTTCTTTGTCTCTATTACACATAAAATAAAACAGATGGTGCCTTGGTCTTATGAACTCGTGTAGCCTGACAAATTATATGTGCGCTTTATGAAATCTTAAGTCTCTCTTTAGATATCTTCACAAGTAACACCAAAAAGCATTGGGAAGGGGGATTCCCTTATACTTTTTAACAGACAGGCAATAGAAGATATCAATAACACTTTTCAATCATTACAGATTTTTTATGGAGGGGGGTACATACATATGTGAATATATCCTTAAATCCTTAAAATCTATAATGGCATAATGGAAGGGATTTGAAATTTAAATCCTGCTATCCAAATACCTGAAGTTACACCCAGGAGCAGCAGAAACTTGTGCAAGAGCATTCAATGCAAGTCTGGTTGTGAAAAACAAATAATTGAAATTTACAAACTTTGCCTTTTCCTGACTCAAAACATTTATGATTCTCAGTCGAGACAACGAAATGGCATAATAGAAGGGATGTGAAATTTAAAGCCTGCTGTTCAAACACCTAAAATTACACCCAGGAGCAGCAGCACTTGTGCAAGAGCATGCGTTGCAAGTCTGGTTGTGAAAAACAAATAATTGAGATTTACAAACTTTGCCTTCTCCTGACACAAAACATACTTGATACTCAGTTGAGACAATGAGGAAACTCCATGGGCCAAAAACAGGTGAAAGGTAAAAGCAGTGAGAACCCAGTACTAAGTAGTGGTCATTTGCCACTGGAGATGTGCCCAACCCATTACCTACAGTCATTCACAATCTTGTGACATAAAGCAAAACATACAAAATAAAAGCCTGCCAAATAGGTTGGTGTGATTCCAAGAGATTGTGACTGCAAAGCTCTCTATTAAAACTGAAATGAACTACTTTCTGCATGGATTGTAGGGCAGTAGCTCCACTGCTGTCGCCTTAGCACTGATCCAGCTATGGTTCATCTCTTCATTTTTCTGCTATCTTCCAATTAGGCACTTTACAAAGATGCTTCAAGAAGGAGAGGCATCCCCTAGAATCTTCAAAGACCAGGATGGAGGATGGGCTTGGATGGTCTTAATAGCCACAGTGCTGGTTCAAAGTCTAACACTGGGTTTTCCTTCATGCATTGGAGTCTTCTTCAAGGATCTGCAGCATGATTTCCACGCTACCAATAGTGAGACATCATGGTTTCCCTCCATCATGACAGCTGTCCTCCATGCAGGTGGTGAGTATTTTGTTTTTATTCATAAGCTTTCTTCTTAAATGTCATCGTGGTCTCATGAAAAGAGCACAAGAAGATCAATTGCTAACTAGCAAATAATGTTCTACCAAAGAGAGCTACCAAAATTGGAATGTTTTTCTCTTCAAGCTTTGACATGTGGTTCTATTTCTAGACACAGAAATAAATCTTCCTCCCTATTCTCCAACAGTATCTTCTTTTTCCTCCAAAACCACTTTGTTTCTACCTGACATCTGTAATAGCATGAACAATGGAAAGGATTTCCTAGATAGATTGTGGGTTTTTTCTGAGTTCTGTCTATCTGTTTATCAATTATCTGTCTGTCTGTCTATCTATCATCTATCTATTTATCCATCCGTCTCTTTGTCTCTATCTTTATCATCTATGTCTACCCTGCCTTTATTATTTTTATAAATCTCAAGATGTGAACATACCTAATATTCTTTCCTCCTCCTATATTCCTAGCAACTACCCTGTGAGGTGGATTGGACTGAGAAAGTGACTGGCTCAAAGTCATCCAGCCAGTCTTCATGTCTAGGATGGGCCTAGAACTTGCAGATTCCTGGTGCCATAACCACTAGCCCATACTGGCTCTTTTTAATTGCTTAATTTTAATTAAAATTAATTTTAATTGCTATTTTAATTGCTGCTTTTTCAAGTAATGTTAGGCCAGAAAGCTGATTAATTTTAATTGCTTATTTTTTTAATTGCTGCTTTTTCAAGTAAGGTAAATCGAGAAAACTGTGAATGAAGAATCCATACTGAGTTAATATGTGCATATTTTATCATATCATTGAGAAACAGTTTCATGTAGAGATGAAGGCATCAGAAACTACACTGTGAACTCTAGTTCCCACCTTAGATGCAAAGCCAGCTAGGTGACTTTGGGTCACTCACTCGATCCAGCCCTAAAAAGAAAGCAGTGACTACACACACACATACACTCTTTCTCAGTCATATCTCTTTCTCACATACATACTTAAAATTGTTTCAAACAAAATATATGTATTGGCTTTCTTTTCAAGGCCACTCTGTGCTCTGAGCCTGTGAGAGGAGTACTAGAATTTCAGCCAATGGACACCACCCTTCACATGACCTTGAGTTAAAGGGGAAAGTATTAAGCCAAATAAAATCATCTGAGATTTTTTTATATCAGACAAATCTTTGTTACAGTTATTGACCAATTCAAAATAAGAAACAAACCAAGGGGAAAAAAAACATTGGCACAACTCCATTGGCAAGATCTAGATAAAAGAGATTGAATCACTAAACCAGTTCTTAAAGAATCAGTTGGTGGACTCAACCAGCCGCATCATAAAATTGGGCCACATTGAGGGCTCATCAACATAATCATTTTGCTGAATTCTCCTCACATGTTAGAGATGAGAAAAGAACATATTGATTTAGACTGTGTGGTTCCCACATCCTGCCTTTAATGTACATTCAAAACAATGCTATGCTCTATCGGGCCAGTTGAACAGAACCAAATTTACATTATTCCAGGGCTTTTCTAAGCATCTTAGATTGTCCTCTTGGGGGCTTTTGTGTCAGGATAATGGGGAAAACACTTCTTGCATTTCCGAACACCTGAAATGAATCCAGACTTCCTCAGCAGTTGGCTAGCAATGAGATGGAGGCAAAGTTACAAGGAAAGTCCTCTGTGAATAGTTAGTGTGATGTCCTTTTGCTGTGGCAAGCAGGACATGTGGTTGAGCCCTAAGAGTAATATTTATCTGACAGTAAGATATGTCTGGTTTGTCAATCAAGAACAGAGTTCTATGAGTGATACAAATACCTTAACAGAATGAGCAATACAATACATGATAATACAGCATCCCCGGAGACACAAAAGCAAATCCCATCTTCTAAATTATGAAATTCATTCTCCAAGATTGCTGAGGAAAAAACATTAAGAGAAGTCGATGGAAAAGCCCTACACTACCTCAAAGTGGTTTGATGTAAAACTTAACTCATAGGTTGGAAAATATTAATCTCCCTCTCCACAGGATCACTGAGCAGGCTACAAGTAGTCCTTTGACATCATTGTTCTACAGATCTAGCTTTGTATTGCAAGCACTGAAAAATTATTAAAAATAAAAGAAAAAAATGGATAAGAAAAAGTTAACTTTTAAAAGACCGAGGGGTTGCATGTTCATTGAGAATGTACAACTGGAAAAAATGACAGTTGTCTCAGGCAAGCAGTGTTGTAAAATTAGTGAGAAGACAGGATAGAGAAAGGCAAGAACAGAATTTTAACTGCATCAAAATGGATTCCCTGCCCACTGGTGGGTTGGAACCCAGTGAGATGCATATTTGCGCCCCTCAGAAAAGCAGTAGACTTGCTCAAATATAGATGTTCAAATGTAGTTCTTGCTTGTAGCTTGTTATTATTGTAATTATTATTAGGGTTGGTTGCACAATCAGCCAGATGTTTTTATGGCTGGTCGCACAGTCACCCAGACATTTAGACTGGATTTGACATTTTTATCTACGGTACCTATTGAGTTCTTCCCAAGGACCTGTGATAGGCAGATGTTCTTGTTTGATGATGTTAAAGGTATCATCGCAGGATTATTACTTGTATGCCATCCAACTCTCAATGACTGTGGGTGGCTCACAGCAATCAAAGAAATTATTATAATATCAAAAAAACATTTAAAAATAAATATAAAATTTGTAGTGCTTATGAATATTCTATCTAGGAGTTATGCTTATAAGGCTTTATTCCTAGGCTTATAAATGTCTTAAAAGCTGGTTGGGTCCTGAATAGTTTAACAGTGTATTTTGCACACCTGCAAGATTTCATTAGCTTCCTAGTCCCTTGGGTACCAGGAACACCTGGTTATTATCTCTTTTATAAGTGGGCCTGTGATAATATTGCGTCAGATCATTAATCTCTGGTATTGTTGTGCTGGCAAGGAAAGGATTATGTTCTCTACTGAGTTGGGAAATTTAGTGAAATATTTCATTTGGTAATGATTTCTTTTGCCAATTAACCTATATTTCATAATAGGCTTTGCTTGCTTTTATGTAATGCATGTATTATATAATCATTAAATAATAGCTGGGACTTCTAATAGTATAATATGAGCTGTTTCTATTGGCAGGTATATTCATTGCTCGTTACCAGAAGGCACCATGCAGTGTTCTTGATGAATTTGCCCCTTTACTTATATACTCTTGATCTACAAATAATATTCAGATATCAAACATTAATATTTATGGCTGCTTAACTTACTGAATGGGGTGTACAGGTAGTTCTCGACTTAGCAACAGTTCATTTAGTGACTGTTCAAAGTTATAACCTCACAGAAAAAAAGTGACTTATGACCATTTTTCACACTTATGACTGTTGCAGCATCCTCATGGTCACATGATCAAAATTCAGACACTTGGCAACTGACTCATATTTATGATAGTTGCAGTGTCCCAGGGTCATGTGATCCCCTTTTGCAACCCTCTGACAAGCAAAGTCAGTGGGGAAGACAGATTCACTTAATATCTGTATTACTAACTTAACAACTGAAGTGACTCACCTAACAACTGTGGCAAGAAAGGTTGTAAAATGGAGCAAAACTCACTTAACAACTATCTCACTGAGCAACAGAAATTTTGGGCTCAGTTGTCGTAAGTTAAGGACTACCTATAAATGATAAAATCTGTATGAAATCTCCACTACACAAAACTTCTTTTGGGCCAATGTAATCCTATGATTCCTCCTCCAACTCCATCTTATCTATAGGTACAGGTGTGGCAGCAGTCCCCAGATCTTCCATCTTAAACTTCTTCTCCAGATCTTTCTCTCTCCTGGCTTTCATGTTCCCACTGTTTATTTTGACAGGTTAAAGGGTTTTGGGGAGTAGGCCTATGCCTGTCATCCCAAAACTAAAATTTGATGCTTTATCTTGAAGTCCACCAATATCCCAAATTTCACCCTTCTTTTATCATGAATTTCTGGAAGCTTTATAGCTGACCAGATTCTTTTTTGCAGTTTAGTAAGATGGACTACTAGATAGTTAAGGAAGATAGACTTTTTTCAAGTAGAAACTACCCAGAATTGCTGGAAATCTGGCAGCAAATACATCTAAATAATAATAGTAACAATTGTTGATAAGAAAGATAAAAATGTCTGGATAGTGGACTTTGCAATACTTGGAGACAGCAGAATACAAGAGAAAGAACTGAAAAATCACAAAGTATAAAGACCTAAAAGTAGAAGTAAAATGACTTTGGCAAAAGAAAGCAAAGATAGCATCTATAGTAATAGCATCTTGGGTGTAACTCTAAAACATCTGGAACACCATCAAATACCATCAGCATTGACAAAATCACTATGAGTCAATTGGAAAAGGCAGCTTTATTTGGAACAGCTTACATATATCTTGTGATGGTATCTTTAACATCATTGAACATCTCCCTATCCTAGTCCTTGGGAGGGACTCAATAGGTGGACAGAAATACCAGATCCAGTCTTAATATCTGGCTGCCTGCGTGACCAGCCATAATAAATATTATTTTAAAAATGTAAAATAAAACAGGTAAAGCAGATAATAACAAGACCTAGCAAAGGCTAAGAGCAGGAATATTGAAGAAAGAGATAAAGGAGCTAATTCTGGCTACACAAGACTAAGCCTTAAGAACAAATGCATACAAAACCAGAATTGAGAAGTTGGCAACAGATAGCAAGCAAGTGCCGCCTCTACAAAGAAGGTGAAGAAACAATGGACCACCTGGTTAGCTGCTGTAAGATGATCACACAGACTACTACAAACAACAGCATGACAAAGTAATAAGAATGGTGCATTGGAAGATGTGGAAGAAATACCATTTGCCTGCAAGCAAGAACTGGTGGGACTATAAAATAGAGAAAATCATAGAAAATGAAGAACCTAAAGTGCTCTGGGACTTCAGAATTCAAACAGACAGGCACTTGCCACATAACACATCAGACTTAACAATTGTCAATAAGAAAGACAAAAAAAGTCTGGATAGTGGATGTGGCAGTACCCGGAGACAACAGAACAGAAGAGAAGGAACTGGAGAAGATAATAAAATACAAAGACCCTACAAATAGAAATAGAACAACAGAAAGCAAAGATAGAACCAATATTAATAGTGCCTTGGGTGCAATCTCAAAACTGGAGTATCACTTGAACACTATCAGCATTGACAAATTCACCATCAGTCAGTTGCAAAAGGCAGTTTTAATTGGAACAGATTACATCTTGCAACGATACCTCTAACACCGTAAAACATCAACAGCTGCCTATACCAGGTTCTTGGGAAGGAGTTGATAGGTGGATTAAAATGTCAAATACAGTCTGAATATCTGGTTGACTATGCGGTGAACAAAAAATATAAAGCAGCAGCAGTTTAATGAAGAATAGGATCTGAATATTAATAATCAACCTTAAAGTTCCAGTCTTTCTAGGTTTGAATCACAGTGGATCAGCCTTGACTTTGGTTGATCCTTAACTCACAATCAGTACAGCTTGTTTTCTGCATGTGCTTCCAGAGCCCACATGAATGACTTGATTATGTAAATTATTGAGAAGGAGGAAGAGATATTTAAACTCTACCCTGATTAATCATGCAACTGGATAATGTTAAATTGTGAAGGCAAAAACATGATTCTTAGATTTCTCTAAATAGCTTCATGATCTTTAATATTTAATAGTAAAAAATAGAAAGATGTATCAGGAAAAAAAATCTTATATTCTGGGTGTTGTGTCCTGAGCCTGCTGAAGCATTCAGCAGGCTCAGAAATGTTGCAAATGGTCCCGGGCAGACCAAAAGTTGCCCGGGACCAGACTGGCTGTCGCCAGCCTTGCGCGCATGTGCAAGGCGCGAAAACAGCCGGATTTCTATTGGCTGACACTGTCTGGGTTTTGGACACTATAAAAGGCCTGCGTGCCTTTTTGCTGTTGCTGGTTGTAAGAAGAGAACAATAAAAGAAGCTTGTTTGTTACACCATGCGTTGCCTCTTAATGTCTCTAACCTGCAAACACAACACTGGGCATTTAGACAGTTATGAACCTATAAGATTGACTGAAATGTAATACTGCTTTAAAAAAGTTTATTGACCACATTAATCTAGGATTGGCAGCCTAACCAGAACAAAGCATTAGTTAACTTTTGTACCATAACAAGGTTAGGTAAACAACAAGCATAGTGAATGCTGAACAACTTACATGAATGTTGTCATTATCTGCATCAGAATAGGAATACTTCCTTGTTATTCTCATGTCATAGTCATATTAGAGAAACATTTAATATTTCTACATTTTAAATGTCTCTAAATATGAAAAGGGAACTTGGAACATTGCCTCTTTCAGAGTGGGGTTAGTACTGCCTGCCTCAAACGAGTCAGAAAGGACTCTTTCCAAAAGGACCGCCTGAAAGGACAGTATCTCAGTTTTGCACAACTTTCATCCAAATTTTAGTGTTTGTTTTCTGGAAAGGTTTTGGAAAAGGTGGTGGGATTTTAGCTATAGAAAACCCTAAACTGATCACTAAACCGGAAGTCCGGTTTATCAGCCAGTTACAAATCCCCCTGGTGGTCAATCTCACATTTTTCTAGTTTACCAAGCAGTAGGTTGTGGTCTACTTTGTCGAATGCCTTGCTGAAGTCTAAGAATACTATGTCCACAGCATTTGGCTGGTTTACTAATTTAATCACTTTGTCAAAGAAGGAAATAAGATTGGTTTGGCATGATGTGTTTTTAACAAACCCGTGCTGGCTACTAGTTATAACTTTATTGTTTCTAGATGCTCACAGATCTGGTTTTTGATTATTTTTTCCAGTATCTTCCCAGGTATTGATGTTAGGCTTTATGATGTTCACTCTGTAAACAACCTAAAAATAGGGGAAAGGCGCAAGGTGTCCCTTTGGCCTGAATTAAACAACCACACTACTGATTAAGTAATATGAGTAGTTAGGAAATTTGCCATCATGTTATTCTCAAGGACACACAAGAAGAAGCGGGGTGAACTTTATTTGCCCAAGTAAGGCCTACAGCTGAGTTGACAAATATATGAGATTGACAGGAGAGAAAGGACACAGGGAACGACAGAAACCTCTACACTGTATGACCACATCTAGCTCCACCTCATGAAAAATATAATCTGGCCCAGCTTTCTTCAAGGCAAGTCTACCTGTATACTGTAAATGAGGAAGAGATCTGAGATTTCATTTGCTCATATTAAAAGTTGCCAACATTTGTTTAAGAGAGCTCACATGTCTTTAAGAAGCAGATATTCGTGGAGGGAAACAATTCTTGCCCATTCCAAGAACTTTCCAGGTATAGGGCATTTGTTGCTGTCTCCAATCTGATCCAAAGGGAAAACAAAAAGATCTGAACTTTCTGAGGTCTGGGGCCTCTCATCTAAATTTCAAAGCTCAGAGCAGAGCAGGGTGTCTTTCATGATTATGGCTGCCATCTTGACCCCCACACCCGAGGCAGTTATGATTTCTGAAGTAAAATTGGTTGCCCTGAGAATGTGCCTGAGAAAATGCAGATTTATATTTAGATATATCAATGAATGAATTTATTTGAATCTAATTGATTATAATATTCTACATAGATAGAGAGGGAAATTTTAAGAAACATTGTGTGAATTGTATATTTATAATGTTATTGTTTCTTTTGTAATTGACCACCATATCTCCACGCTGGCTCTTAAGCTTCTGTTGATGTAAAATGGAAAAATAATAAAAATTGTTTATATAAAAAAAAAGAAAATGCAGATTTATAGCAGAGAGCAAGTCTGAAATTTCAGAGGCGCAAAATTCTATCCTTTCCACAAACTAGTAATTCAAGTGCGGCCTTGTCTAGTGCAGTGGTTCTCAACCTTTTTAATGCCGCGACCCCCAACCGGTCGTAAGTCGAGGACTAAACTGGTCGTAAGTCGAGGACTAAACCAGTCGTAAGTCGAGGACTAAACCGGTCGTAAGTCGAGGGCTACCCAACAGGTCGTAAGTCGAGGACGTTCCCTGCCCAGGAGCGCCGCGCATGCATGGTTCCGCCCCCTGCGCCGGCCGAGGCGTAGCTGGCAAGCGGCAGAGACGGAGCAGGCCGACCACCAGCTGGCCCAGCCCAAGGGAGGTAAGGCACCCGCCGGAAAAGGGGGAAAAAATGGCGGATAGCCTTGCTTGGCGACCCCTGTGAAATGGTCGATCGACCCCAAATGGGGTCGCGACCCATAGGTTGAGAACCGCTGGTCTAGTGGAACAAAAAGAATCCAAGAAGGCTGCTTAGGGAAAACAAATCAAACTCTACTATCACACCCTTTCGCACTAGCAGCTACTAAAATGTCAGGTGGCCTTAGCTGTCATGCCCTTACGATCTCCAGGTGGAATGGTAGCTCTTTTTCAGAGAGACACCATGCTGGCTCAGGAATTCTGGGAGTTGAAGTCCACGAGTCATAAAAGAGCCAAAGTTGCCTACTCCTGGGCTAGTCATTCTCTCTCAGTCCTAGGAAAGAAGCAATGGCAAAAACCTTGCCAAGAAAACTGTAGGGCCTCGACCAGGCAGTTTCTAAGATTTGGACACAATTAAACAGAAGGGAAAAAAAACCCAGTAGTAAATATTAATAGGAAAAATTTCTCTACAACAAATTACTGCTCACAGCTTCTTTCTTCCATCTCAGGGGCGCATTCCTCTTAATTTTACATTCTTCTTAAACAAAATGCCTCTCTTCAAATTACTTTCCTGCTTCATCTCAAGTGTTTTATGTCAGTTATACTGAACTTGTTCCTTGTTTGGCACAAGATACTTAAATTGATATTATATTCAGATCCCCTTTCATGCTCTCAGATAAAATCTTGCTTTTTAAAAAAAAACATGGGGATCATCCAATTCATCTGCTGAACTTTCATCTGAAACTGGCATCCATATCATACTTCTGTCCATACATTTTCAAGTTCAGATTCCAAAATACTCTTAGCATTCATATACGCTGAACATAGATTGAGAATAGACATGCCAATACTCTATATAGGACACTTATGGGGTTTTTTTCAAACACAAGATTATTTTATCTTTCTTCAAAATTCTATCTTTATGTAGCATAGCTTTGACTATGTTAGCAGCAGCAGCAGAAACAACAAATCTGCAGGGCGGAGCCCAGAACATAATGTGGAGGCGTTGAACGAGGATAGGGAAGACCCAGGTTTGTGCTTGTCCATTATGGAAACTCACTTGACTAGTCATATTTTCCCAGCCCAACCTACCTCCCAGGTTGTAGCTGTTGTAGAGATAAACTGAAATGAGATTCCCATAGGATATAAATCTAACAAATGCAACTGTTTGACTATGCTGATCACTATACTTTTGAATTTGAATCTGAAATTGGTGTTTATTGTTCCCTTCTCAGGTCCTCTTTGTAGCATTTTGGTGGATCGATTTGGCTGCAGGATAACAGTCATGGTAGGAGGCCTGCTCAGTGGAGTGGGCATGGTTGCCAGCGCTTTCTCTAACTCACTTAGCGAGCTTTACCTAACAGCCGGATTCATCACTGGTGAGTATAGTAAAAGTACAACAGGATGGTTTGTATGACTTCCTGTTTGGTTCCTTTTCAGAGTTTATAGAACTACATAACATGAATCCAAGTTGCAAATGGTGATAGATCCTCTACTGTGTGTGTGGATTGTGATGCTGATTTAGATGCTGAGTAACATTTAAAAATCTCATCTCAGTTATCTGCAATGTGGTGATTACATTATCCATGATTGCTACTTCAAATGTCTTCAAAGGAGTAGTGCTTTTAATAGGAGGAGGGGTAAGATTCTTTCAGAAACCTCTGAGATCTATCAGATACATTCTTATTGGAATTAATATTAAGTAATGTAGATTAAGAATATTGTTTATATCCCGCCTTTGTTCTAAGTGGTACCCCAAAATAATTCATTTAATATACTTTAAGCAACGTGGTAGGTGAATTCTGATATTATAAACATACCGTACATACAGAGAAATGAATAAAACAAATGTTATCACTGCAGACTCTTATCATTTTTCTTTCTTTTTTAATTTAAAGGCCTGGGATCATCTTTTAGCTTCCAAGCAGGTGTCACTGTACTTGGTTACTATTTTATACAACGGCGAGCATTAGCCAATGCCTTGGCCTCTACTGGAATCTCCATTGGCATGACAGTGTGGCCACTAATTTCCCAAAACCTGCTTGATGAGATGGGCTGGAGAAACACATTTCTAATCTTTGGGGGAGTGTTGCTGAACTGCTGTGTGTGTGGGGCTGTGATGAGGCCAGTCCCAAGTAAGCTGTCTGCCCTTTCACTGAAATCTTGTTCAGAACAGTCAACTGGAGGAATGCCCAATGGAAACACTTCGCATCATAAAGAACAATGTCAGTCAAGATTTACTGTGTGTTCCCAGACCCTGAAGAAGTACCTAGCTTTTGATGTCTTCTGCAAGAACAAAGGCTACCAAATCTATACCATTGGAGTTACCTGGATGGTGATGGGTTTTGTTCTGCCTCTTGTTTATTTGGTACCCTATGCCATCTTGAATGGAGTGGAGGAACAGAAAGCAGCCCTCCTAATTTCCATTATTGGATTCATCAACATATTTATGCGCCCAATTGCAGGCCTTCTCTCAGGTCTTAGTGTCTTCACTGGCAGGAGGATCTACCTCTTTAGCTCAGCTGTGATGCTCAATGGCCTGAGCAACCTCATCTGTGCTGCGTCAGCTGAGTATAGTATTCTTGTCGTCTACTGCTCGGTCTATAGTGTCTCCATGAGTGTCATCGGTGCACTTCTCTTCCAAGTGTTAATGGATGTAGTGGAAATGGACAGGTTCTCTAGTGCCTTGGGTCTTTTCACCATCTTGGAAAGTATCACCATTCTTATTGGACCTCCTCTTGCAGGTAAGAAGTATACAGCAATTGGGCCAGGAGGTATTGTTGGCACAGATATTGCATGTAATCAGAATTCATTGTATGGTAGCACTTAGCCATCAATCAGATGGCTATCTAGCCTCCACTTGAACACAACCAGTGAAATGAAGGCCACCATATTGCTTAGTTCCATGCTCCCTTTAGCACTGGTGTTACAATTCTCTGCAGAATGATTACTACAGCTTTAAATAGCAAGTATTAAGGTTTTAGAGATTTAAGATTACAGCAGTCAGCATAAAAAAGGATTATGTAGGAGTAGCAGCCCAGTAATTAGCTTAACAACTGTCTTTGATATAAGATCTAGTTTTTATTTCTTTTGCTTTTAGCTCTGATATCTATCTTCTTGTTTTTCATAGTCCTTACCATAGCTAAATTTCTTATTCATCTTTCAGTTGTTGCTAAATAATCCAAATCTCATAGTGATCCAGGTTTGGGCATAGATCTGAGGAAAACAAGCTTCAGACCAGCATGGACATGGAGATAGAAAAAAAGTTAAATCACCTCCTTGCTGCTTCTCTTGTCTCAGTTGCTTGCTTTCTTGAAAAATTAGGATATATTTTAGCTAAAATATAGGCATAAGTAATTAATATATCACCTTATATCAAGTCAAACTTGATACATACAGTATGTCTGTATAGGCATCGTGTGAATTTCAACAAGATGATTTATCCTTACATATTCCAGGGAGTCTCAGTTAGCCATAGTACTCTGGTGTATATCCAGTGTTTCAACAAAAACAATGGAATCATATGTATACAAGTTAAAAAGTATTGCTTTAATTCTTGAAATTAACATAGCATATTCTGAATGTAAAAATAAAATTCTGATTACTGTGGAATCAGTTGCAACACTGATTTCCTTCCTTCCTTCCTTTTTCCTTCCTTCTTTCCTTCCTTCCTTCCCTCCCTCCCTCCCTCCCTTGCAATTGTATTCTTTGGCTCACCCAAAAATCTTCTAAAAAGGTTTTTGAAAATTTCTACTGGTGAAATTTTAAGCATTTTTACCTACAAGCGAGTCCTGAGGAATTCAGTGAATTTTTCTCCTTGGTGATCATGCTGATACTTACAAAATATATCACAGTGCTTAGACAAAAATATTTATTAATTAAATAAGAGATAAAAATTAAAGAACAAATGAAATACATTAGTTTCCTTTCTACCTGTACAGATTAACTCTTGAACACATTTGGTAGCTTAAGTTAGTTTAAATATCTTCTAACATATTCAATTCTGAAATGAATAAATATATAATTTAAGGACTTTTGTACAAAATTTCACAAAATGGTAGAGATCAATCGAGCCATTATAATCAGCTGAATCCAAAGGGTTTTTATTCTCTTTAGAAAGTCTGTTAACAGAAGGGGCAGGCACTTTTCATCAATTCTTCTTACCTGTACTACCACCAACACACATCAGGACTCTATCCAAACCCTCTAGAAAAGATTTTGATACTTTATAGTGCACTCAGCCTTCCATCTTTCTGAGGTTGGTAAAATGAGGACCCAGATTGTTGGGGGCAATATGCTGACTCTGTAAACTGCTTAGAGAGGGCTATAAAGTACTGTGAAGCAGTATATAAGTCAAAGTGCTTTTGCTATTGCTACTGCTATTAGTGGACGCTGAGAAACACTTTTTCTGATATCCAGGCAATTTCAATATCTGAAAATCTGAAAGTAGAATTGTAAATCCATATGCTGCAAACCATTTTTTCATTCTTAAAATGCAGTTGTCTGTATAATTAGCAAATGGTGATACTGTATGCTTTTATTAAAATATACTGGAAATGATGGGAAGCAAGTATTAAATTACCCGCAAGGGACAGATAAACATCTGAAGGGATCTAGAAACTCCTTCAGATAAGAAGCAGCTGTAATTTTCATCTTATAACAGGTTGCGAGAGATGGATTGCTATGGAAAGTTGTTGAAGAATTATATTTACCACAGAGAGTTAATAAGTCACATTGATTAAATAGACATTTCCTGTTTCTTTAAATGGACATTGAATAATTGAACAGCTCAGAATAAATCTAGGTGGCAATAAATCTAGGTGGCAACTATCAGTTAATACTGATAGTACAAGGGTTAGGAATGGCAAAAAGAATGTGAAAGTAGAAGAAAGCAAAGGTAATTAGAATCACAATGATTCTGGGTCAACAGTTAAATTGAGTTTCTTATCTGTATTGATGCTCTTCTGCCAAATGTAGGAAACCTACTGACTTCACGGGTTGTGCTAGCTCTAGAACAGACTTCCTAAACCTTTTGATCCATTGGTGGCTGAGTATTCAGATATCCCGATTCTACATTTGATCGCCAAATAGCTTATGTTTTTCTTAATCATGTATCTTTTCTGTTTCAGGTCTTCTTGTGGATGTTACAGGACACTTTAGTTATGTCTTCTATGCTTCCAGCTTCTTCATGGTAACAGCTGCTCTGTTCATGGGTCTTAGCTTTTGCATGTTGGAAGCCAAAAACAAACAGAAAGAGGTTAATAAGCCACTCTCTGAAGATCTCTCCAAAGGAAAATACGCAGAGGTGCCAACTGAATTTGTGCCTATGAAGAACAGTCCTCCTGAAATAATGTATATAACAAGCATCTGAAGGCAAAGGAGCTGAAGGAATATTGTATTATGCAAAAATGCAAAAGCCAGGGGAAGGGACATCACGCAGAGAAGTGCCTCTTTTTCATGCTCACCTCCTTCCTGCTACAATGGTCTACTCAACTGGGTTCGGTTCAGATTTCTAGAGAAATTATCCAGATAAGAAGAGACACAAGCACTAAGGAGCACTTTAAACAAAATGTATAAGATGCAATTCTTATGACAGCATCTGATATTACTTGAAGTATAGCAAATTATCAGGTTTTCTTATAGACTCTTAGTAAAAACAGGACATTTACCCTTTCGGTTAACTATCTCGTTCTCTAAAACAAGCAAGCCCAGCATATTATTACTTATACAGGACATTTGGTTTTGGAGAAGTCAATTGGTTGCAATTAAGCTTGTATTGAAGTCAACTGGTGGACTTCTTTCCAAGCGTAAGTGCAGAATTCTTATTTATTGATCTTTACTGCTAGTTTCTTGAATGTTAAGCAGAATTGTTCATCCCTGTTTTATCATTTGAGGGCATTTTCTAGAGGAATGTATCATGTATAAAGCAGCCTGAGTGGAATTATATGCACTGCTATAACCAAAGTGAATATTTTCTGCATTTCAAAGCCTTTTTATGGAGACAATAAAGTCTTAATCCCAAAACTGCAACTTGAAGTAAAAGTGGACAGTTCCAAAGTGCCTACGCATTAACCAATAGTGGCTTAAATTTTTCTTCCTCTTTGAATGTATGTTGCTGCATGACACTTTCTAGAGCTGTGGTGGTGCAGTGATTAGAATGCAGTATTGCAGATTAATTCTGCTGACTGCCAGCAGTTCGAGTCTCACCTGCTCAAGGTTGACTCAGCCATCCATTCTTCCGAGGTCAGTAAAATGAGGACCCAGATTTTTAGGGGCAATAGGCTGACTCTGTAAACTGCTTAAAGAGGGCTGTAAAACACTGTGAAGTGGTATATAAGTTTAAGTGCTAAGTCATGACCATACAGTGAAGTGGTCATCTTATTTTTGGAGGGACCAGAAGATCCTATCACTTTCAAAATGTCAGTATGGTACAGGAAGTCATTTTTGTTCTTGTTTTTACTGGGGTATAAAAGACTTCGAATAGTCTCTGCAGAGCCAACTCTTTACATACATAAAAATATGTATAGGAGTAAAAAGGTAATCTTGTTGGTTTAAAGGAAATTAGGTCTTAGAAATGCTGCTTCTCTCAGGCAATAGGTTGAAATAAAGACCATTTCTGCTCTGGATTGGAATTCTCAACAAAACTATATAGTTAAGAGGATGTTATTTCTCTTAAATCTGTTTCTTAAAGGAACTATTTTACTCTGAACATGATTTGCTTTTCCTAGTTTCTTTTAAAACAGCAGTATTTATATTGGAACATGTATGTTTCAATCCAGGCTGGCTTACTTGCTTTTGACAGTTCAGATTTTCATTTAATATTCTACTCTTCCAATTCTAATCTCTCTGTAAACATTCAGCTTATTTAAGGCTTCTGAAGTCCATAGTGGTTTCTAATGAAATAAAATATTGACTAGGAACTCAAGCACTTAAGATTCAAAAGAGCAGATGTTGAAATGAAATAAGAAGGCAGTCACAGCCCTACTGATCAACCTAAAAGTTGACTTTATGTGAATTGAAATGACAGGAATGTAGGATTGGCCCAAACCGTATTTGTAGCCCAAGATTACTTTGTGCTTCGAATAACTGGGAGAGGATGGGGGATGGGGGTGGAAGAAGGGGAAAAGGAATTTACTAGAATTGGATGGAAGCTGAACATCCAAATGTTAAGTCCACAAACATGGTTTGGAAAAACCCTACTCTGAAAGTCAGACCTCCAAACTTTTAAAGTCTGGATGGGTTATTTTTCCAGCATGATACAATGAAAATAAACTTGCATATGTGAATCTCTATGAACATAGTGTATACAGAACAGAAAGAGGAGGAAAATCTATCCACATAGGACAAACAAAATGTATTTTCAATCTTAAAACACACTTCAGTTATTAAAAGGCTACCGAGATTACAGTGTGACAAGTCATGAAGGATACTTTGACCTATCTGTAGACTGTCTATAATACTAAGTGGAAATTTTAAAATCAGTAGCAGTGAGGGTTGCTGCTATCTTTATGCCCCACTTTTTAAGATGTCTTGGGATCATCTGGCTGGCTAGTATAGTGGAAACAGAAAATTACACTAGGTAAACTTTAGTCTAAATTCGTAGGTTTCTTACATTATATAAAACTAAATACCCTTAAGATCTAATGCAAGAATGTAATAAAATTTATTCAATATTAAGTATTCCCCATCCACTGAATGGAAACTTTTTTTTAAAAAAAAGTGTAAGCTATTTGATAGGCAGGTTGGTTAGATGGTTTTGGAACAGAAAAATGATACCTATATAGACTTTTGTCTTAAAGTAATTTGCAATGCCTTATTTTCATGATTGTGGTCAGTTTATTACTAGATAACTGAATTTATTTACTGGAAATTTTATGGGAAGCCTTTCAAATATCTATGTAAGTCAAATGTACTCAGTTACCATTGCAAACTTGGGAGCACTAAAGTGTATCAGTAGAGAAGCTTTTAAAATGCAACAAAAAGCCATTGTGCTTGTTTCAGGATTAAAAGACATCTTGTTATTTCTTTTCTCTGAATACATCATTTGAAAAGGGTCCAAGTCTGCTTTTTTTTCTATTCTTTTTGAATAAAGCCTCTCTACATAAAGATTTTTGAAGATACTGTTTCAGTTTTGCATATGATCAATAACATATATACTGTGGTGACTGTCTATTATTTATTTTCTACTGAAATTTCAAACAAAAGTTGATAATTATGTCTTTGGGAAAATACATGCCGGTAAGATACAGTTTTTACTGGAATAGGTCCAATACCCAAACCCTTGTAAGACTTCAGTATTTCCTCACTCGTCAATCATATGCTATTTTTACCCTGTCAATAATGGGCTCTTTATTTTCCTCGGTGATGGTCTCAAGGCCTTTTTAATGATGTTAATCATTCAATAAATTAACATTGAGAGTTGGGAGAGGATTCCTAAGGCCAAATTTAGCCCTTTAGAGATATGCCTTTCTCTTCTCTTACAACCATCCTGTAACTAGCTGGAATACTATGCCAGAAACATTATGCAGCGCTTTGCATTAATTTACAATTTCCTAGTTATATTTTGCAGTATCATCATTAGCCTTTTTGTTCATACCTCGGCTCACTTCTACCTTTAGCACCATGTTGTTTTTAGCCCTCTAGCTCATTGTGGAAGTCTTCTTTTCTACTTGATCACCCAGTCCAAAAGCAGAACTGGTTTCGTCTAGCTTTGGAAGTTGAAAGGCAGAAACACTCTGCTTTAATTCAATTCTGAAGCCAGAGAATACAGCACAACTAGTTTTATTATACAAGACAGAACTTGATAAAACTGAAGGAACAACCCTTCCAAGACGCTATTTTTGTGCACCTTGATCTGCTATTTCATAACCTAGCTAGCAGCTAGATTGCTTTTAGAAAAAATACTTATTAAATGACAGAACTAGTTTCAAATAGAATAAGTGACTCACTCTGTGCTGAGGAGTAGAGTGCCAAGCCCACCCTCCTCCTGATCCCTTAAGTTGCTGGTCTGCAGAGGAAGAGGATTGATAAATATCCAACTTTTCTCTCTATTGCCAGACTGTCCTCATGACTTTTCCTTTGGCACAGAAGCTGGTTATTCTTAAAGTTCCTATAATTATTCCATAGAAACATGACACAACAAACCTTCCAATTATTTACCTGTTCCTTTCTAAGGCATCCAGTACTTTTTATTCTGTAAACAACTTGCAAGCTATAGCAAGTTTAACATCGTCAGAAGATAACACACTTTTATGATTTTAGCCAGTCCTATAATGCTTCAATTTTCAACAAGGAACTTCAGAAGAAAATTCCTAGTTATATATCTATTTCTTCCATGGTCACAGTGAATATTTCAATGTTTTCCCTAGTCAAATCTGTACTCGTAATTTCTCCTGCAGTCCCAAAGATGCTTTTTTTTTTTCAAAAGAAAACTGGACTTTCTTGGTTTTTTTCTTTGAAAATGTTTCACTTCTCATTGAAATATTTTCAAAGGAAAGCATGTTTTCAAAGATGTGAAATGTTTTCAAAGAAAAAACCCAAGAAAGTCCAGTTGCCTTTTGGAAAAAGCACCTCTGGGACAATCATGGCCTGGATGATTAAGTATCTTCAAAGCCATTTCTCCTGCAGTTTTAATTTTGTCTCACTCCTGGTTCGAGATGGTCTTGACCGTTGGGAAGATGAAAATACCTATAATTGTAATTAATATACTTGCATGCTATTTGGAACACATGATACATTGAGTCCTTAGCAGTCTATTTCATTTACATTTACACTGATGTTTATTTATATATAGCGGTAAAATGCTGTTCAAAACCAAAGGATGCTAGCGGCCTGTATTCCATTCCTTCAGAAAAGAGATTAAAATAATAAAACAACATAATAGCAAATCAAATAAAAATTATTGGTCCTCAGTGACCATAAACACAATCCAGGATGTGGATTCCCAGCTTATTCCATTTCCTTGCTTTTATGACTCGCCTAAAAGTTAATAGGCTATCATTTGCCTCAATAAAATTTAAAGGAGAAAGGAAAAACAAAGAGTTAAAGAACTTCTCATCCCACAACTACGGCTTTTTTTATTTTTTTAGATTTTTTAAATTTTCACATAATTATAGGACTGCTAGGAATTGCACCATATAAAAAGTTACTTTAAATTTTAAAGTAACTTTTTAAATGGAGCAATTTCTAGCATTCCTATAATTATGTGAAAATCTAAAAAAATCTAAAAAAAATAAAAAGAAACCATTTTGAAAAATTATAAGGTTAGCAGTAATCCAAATATTAGTTATTTCCTCGACCAGTTACTGATGTCCCTGCAATGTAACTCCTGGTGTTTCTCCTCATAATAGTGATACTCTGGATCTAGGAGAAAACTCCATGGGCTAAAAACTGTCAGATTTATCCCCTTAGGGCTCATCAGCAAAATAGACCTAGTGAGGGAGGAGTGGCGGTAGTGGAGAACGGGAATAGTTTTAAATAAAGCAAGAAAAGAACGCTTCTATTCCCTCTCTCCCCCCCCCCCCAATTAAGCTGGGTAGGATGACCGCAGACCTTGCGGGAGCGGGGGGAATACCTAAGCAGGACGGGGACGTAATACGGTGATAACAAGCCCACAAGGACATTGTCATCTTGAGTTTGGTGCACCCTGTCGGCCCAAATATGGGAGAAAGGCTATTCCAGTTCTCCCTTAATTCTTTGTTAGCAATCCAAATTTTGAATATATATATATATATAAAAAGTAAAAAGACTTCTCTTTCCCATATTTGGGCCAACAGGGTGCTCTAAAAGAAAAATGCATTCATATATATATATATATATATA